AAAATTGAAATCAACTTTTTATGGAACTGCAGTATTCTTATTTTTCTCTTATTTTCATTATTGAAAATTATTTTGTTATTTTATTATAATAAATGTTTTGTATGATAAAGAATAAAAATAATCCTATGTTAATTTATAATATAAATGTTTGCAATTATATCGCGATAGCGAATATCTCAACATGAATATAAGATTGAAATACGAAACAATAAAAATATAAAAACCAATCAATGAATAACTAAATTACAAATAAAATAGCGTACCGAATCGCGATAGTGAGTATCTCACCGTAAATATTAGGTTAAAATACGAAACAAAAAATAGAAAAAACAATCAATGAATAATCAAATTACAAATCAAATCAGGGTTTGACAAGATGAGCCCAATTCATTAAAACTTACCGAGTTTTATTAAGTTGGACCGACTTTAAAAAACTTACCTGTAAAATGTCACCAATAAAATCTTTAAATTCGTTAATGATTTTAATAAATTTTGTTAATCATTAGTAAATTATAAAAAATAACTAGATATGTTTTTTTGTCCAGAAAAAAGAGCTGAATTAATAAAACAACTCAGATAATAATGCATATCCAAAATCGAACACGATTTAATACGTAAAAATGAATTTAATCAAAGTGCTTGTCAATGTATTTCGACGAGGAAATTCGGGGAACAATGAAAACACGAAATGTTATTTTATTTTGATACTGTTTGACTGATTTATTCGAAATGACTTTTATATCGATGATGTGATTCCTTTACACGGTTTATACATAAAATCTATTTAAATTCTAATTTACACTAAAACATCAGGTAAATCCTAATTTACTCATGTGTTTACTTTATTTTCAAATAACAAATAATCTTTAAATAAAAGCCCATATGTACAAATCGTGAATTAAAAAACTACCTTCTAATGCGTAAATCGATTATTGTCACTTTTTACAAAAGGATCGCTCTTGCGACGTATCTTAAAATTAAGTAAAAAAAGAAAGATCCTGAAAACGTGCATATACTCAGAGGAAAAATTCTACACAATATATCTATTACAAATTTTCTTGATAAACAAGATTTAATGCAGCATCCAGTATGTACAGTGTTGTCTCAGGTATAATGCTGGTAAAATTATAGCAATTAATATTTGTCATTAAAATACGATGTCAGATTGATAGTTGAATGCAGGCATTCTTGGCATTCTTACTGCACAGTTTGATATAGATTTGCGACGGATGTAAAGCAGAATATGACAGATTTTATTTTTTGTTACTGCCACTAATCTGCTATCTCAACCCTTACAGAAATTTATTACTGGAGGGGCCAAATAATTATTTAATTATTTTGAGTATCAAAAATACCGAGTGCTAGATTGCTTTTAAGTTTAGTACAAGGAATGCTATGTATCAGCAGAAACTTGGTCGGTGCTTGTTGTAAAGGCAAATGTTAGTAATTTGCTAGTCATGTCTAATCGAATTTTGTATCAATCTGTTGCCACATCGCGGATAGTTCGCTTACTGGATATACTTGGAGAGATACTGATATACGAGAAATTATCTACCTCTAAGCACTTTTCTCCCATTTATACACGTATCGCGCTAGATACAACTTACTAAACTTACAGAGATACTTTGGACTTTCTTCTCTCGCGCCCGATCTTTGATATCTGAACCTTTCCTCCTCTCTTCTCTTTTTACAAAACGCGCTACCATAGAACTTGCTGCTCGTTATACAAAATCTACGGTTCGCCGTTCACTAATGCTAGCCACGTGTGTGAAAAAAACGCTAATAATTTACCAACTACTATAATACAGGAAAACTTACAATTTCCACAGTTGACTAGTTACAAAACAAAATATCATGTTCTCACATGAAATATATCCGTTTGTATGATCTACGCGATCCAGCACATATTGAATACCTCCGCCGTCTATAACGTGTTTCTCTTCGCTTATTGTCGTCCGATACTTTCGCAAGGCACTGATTCATGGCACAGTTATTACATCTACGAATATTTAGAATCTGAGTAAGCGATATACAAATCCGCGTTTTATATTAAGGGCGCAGCAAAAGGTATAATGTACAATTTTTTTCCGCTTCGATTCTTTGTCTTGATCTTAAACTCAGCGCATGTCTGTTCACGAAAAACAATAGCAGCAATTATAGAACGTTCAATTTCGTTGATACACAAATACAGCCTCGGCCATAAATACAAAGCACCTTCAACTTACATTTTCTTGGAAACGGCGATATGACTAACGAAAGACTAATGAAATATTAAAATTATTATAAATTATTTTTTGACAAAATTATTTTTACGTTAATTTGTGGAGGTATACTTTATATATTTATGACCAGTGCTGTACTTATATTATTGATATAACGCTAGCCCTTTTTACAATTAACGCACATTTTCCTTAATTCTACGCGTAGGTCAATACTTCAATACTGATTTATTTTATTTGGCTCGTATTTCGCTCGTTTCAGTCGGTTATTCGTGTGATTTCTCTTTCTCTCACGCTGAGATTCTTCGTCTATTTCCGATCCGTGTTCACTCCGTTCGATCTCGCTGATAGTTTATTGCGTTCGCGAGTTAGCGAGTCGGAGCTTAATCTCAAGTATCTCGTTTACGCGAGATCTAAAGTGACATTCCACCGCGACGAGTACACGACTCACAGCAGATATGGAAATTTCTCTTCGCCTTCCTCTTCCGTCTCGCTGGACTCTTGGCTGGACGGAGGCGTGTCCAACTGAGGCAGGCCGAGATCCAGATATACCTAACATCAAAGAGGCAATGTAAAATCAGAGATGGCTGTTACTACTACAAAAATTCTATCTATCGTTTTATTTATCGACATCGTAAATGCTCGCGCTACTCACCTCGTTCGCCGTTATCGTTAATATTCTGTCGAGATCCTCGACCAGTTCGACAAATGTCGGCCTTTCGTTCGGCTGATAGCTCCAACAATCTCTCATGAGCATGTATCTACAAGCAAGAGATCGAGGGAAATATTTAAAGATATGAATCATATGTCAAGTGCTTTATGTATATTATGCAGCCAGATTTACGTCTTACATTTCGATCGAGCAGCAGGGCGGCTTTTCCATTCGATGGCCCGTTCTAAGTAGCTCGAACAATTTCTCGAACGACGGTATGGACGGGTAAGGCGTGCCGCCAAGCGTCATGATCTCCCACAACAGAATCCCGTACGACCATCTAGAAGAAATTGCAATAAATGACGTTAGTGAAGTAAAAATAAGAGATAAAAATAAACGCGGGGAAAACGTGAAATAAGTCGAAGTGACGAAATAAAGATGTCTCTATTAGATAAAAGAATTTATTATTCCCGGATACTTACACATCGGATTGACTGGAGTAGATACGGTGGAACAGGGCCTCCGGAGCCATCCACTTCACCGGCAATCGCCCGTCCGATTTCTTCCTGTAGTAGTCGTTGTTAGCAAGGTCTCTGGCGAGACCGAAGTCAGCGATCTTCAGCACGTATTCGTCGCTGACGAGGACGTTCCTAGCCGCTAGGTCCCTGTGTATACACTTCTTACTGGCCAGATACTCCATTCCGCGCGCTACTTGGTACGCGTACGAGACCAGATCCTTTTGCGTGACGGTCTTCCGCTCTTTCGTCTCCTGTCCTATAGCCAGCTCGTATCCCAGAGAGGACCTGTGCTCCCGCAGGAAGTCGCGCAGATTGCCGTGAGGCGCGAACTCCACTATGACGTACAGAGGACCGCCCTTAGTGCAAGCGCCTAACAGATTGATAATGTTCACGTGCTTGCCGATCGCCTTCATCACCTCCATTTCCTTAACTAGATTTATCATGTCCTGATCCGTGTGACCCTCTGAAAACGAGAATACAGACACGCATAAAAAATAAGATACATCTCCTTCTTTCTTTCTCTCTCATTTTTATTTGCTCACCTTTCAACATTTTTACCGCGACGACATTGGATATTCCGGGTTTACTGATGTTCGTGTCGGCCCTGACGACCTTGCCGAAGGCACCTTCGCCCAAGGTACATCCGAGATTGAGATACTCCCTCGGCACCTCCCAGTTCTCGTCGAACGCCATGTCGTACTCATTGTCGGCGGTATTGTCGTCGGCGACGACAGTGGCCTTTTGCTTCTCGATCCTTACCACTGGCATCAGCAGCTCCTCCTCGCCGTTTTGCGCGTTCGCCAATTTCTGCTTCTCCACGATCACCTTCTTGGTCCACTGCGTCACGACCGCCGCGCGTGCCGTCTCTATCGCGAGCAGCTTCTTCATCTTCTCGCGTTTCAATCGATGGAAGATGTATATCACTACGACGACGCCCACGGCAAAGAACACGCAGAGAATGGCCGCCAGAACATTCACCAGAATATGCGGTCTTGCGGCTAGCGGTACTTTCTGCTCGTCCAGCGCTGAATAAATTTTATCAATGTTATTTGACATTTCCATTCCACTCCGTTCGCGAAAAACTGTACAGTAAAACTCCGTTCCAAACATATCAGGGGGGAACAAGATAACAATTCAGATAACAAGAGCTCAGCCATGATTTTATATATTTGAAACTGGACAGTGAGCATAAACTTGTTCGTTTAAATGAAGTGCGGATAAACAGAGTTGTACCATATCTATGAAAACACAACTTGATGACTTCAAGCAAAATTGATTTGTAATGGTACTCACTGTCGACTACATGTAGATAAGCGCTGCTGAATGTTTCCCCGAAAGTGTTCTGGGCAATACACGTGTACCATCCCTCGTCCTTTTCAGTAATGTTGTACAAGTTCAGCTCTTCCGGCTCTTCTGACATTCCAGATTCCTACGTACGAAATGCCGTCAATTGTGCGCCTGATACCGATATCGATCGATTGTGCGACGATATTTACATGCATAGCTACGTAAGCGTGCATTTAAATTTGCTTCTTTAATAAACGTTAAGACAGCACAGACACATTAAACGGCACATTAAATTTTAGAGTTACGCGAAGGATTTCAATCTGGGGCGATTGTAAGCGATTGAGGATTGAGAACGATTGTGTAAGCTTGTTTAATAAAACGTTAACATAGCACAGACACGTTGAACGCCACATTAAATTTTCGAGTTACGCGAAGGATTCCAATGTGAAGCGATTGTAAGCGATTGAAGATTGAGAGCGATTGTGTAAAAGCGATTAAAAGATTTGCGAGTTTGCATGCAAGCTACGCCCACCTTGACCTCCACCCGTAAGCTTTGATTGGTCTTGTTGACGGTGTCGAAGGAGGTATGGTAACCGTGATACCATTCGAGATGACGATGTGCATCGGATAGCACCCGGCAGGTCATGTTAGTGTTACTTCCGATAACCACTGTCTTGTTTCGTGGCGGGATTGTCAGGATCGGTCGATGCGGTACTGTTTCTACAGAGAAAAAAGAAATCCCAACCACCATTTAAACTAACATTTATGAGTTAGCTGTACACGTAGATAAGACAAAACGAGAAATACATAGAGAATTCAGCTATACGTCCGAGTTACCTGAAATATTTTTAGTTAATGTAAAAACGGAGAAATATGTGGAAATTAATAAGAACTCGTAATAGAAAGGTAGACGAACGAACCAGGTTTGTTTCTCTCTCTCTCTCTCTCTCTCTCTCTCTCTCTCTCTCTCTCTGCTAAATTGTAAAATTGTAAATAAATTAATTTAATATTGACATATAAAAAAAATAAAAGTATGAAATAAATTAATACATATAGTGCAATGTACTGTATGTATTACGTAATTAATACGTATAGCATTCATTAAATATGACATTTAATTTTTCATTTACGGTATCAATTTTGATTTTTGTCTATAAAATAGACTAGAATAGAATAAAGATAGTAAAGAACACAATAAGAAAACCCATAACCATGAGAATATTTCCTAAGCGCTAAATATGTGCTGCAAAATTAAATAATCAAGTTTGTTAATAACGATTAAAACAAAGAGTCTTCTTCGCCTAAACCTGTAAAAATTTTATAGCCTTTTCGATAAAAACTTTGGAGAATAAATAATTAGTTAACCCTACACCATTAATAGTTAGCACGACAACGGACCCGCCACATAAATTAAATGAATTTTCTAGAACAAAAAATTAAGATGAATAAAGAATCCAGGACCCAGGACCCATCGTCATCGCGAAAAATGATGACTTGTGTACCTGGAGCAGAGTCCCTTTAGGCGAGTCCTCTTGATCATCGGGATATTTGTCGACTTTAATCCACTGTATAAATGGCGAGAGATCGGAGACGATGGGGCACTTGAAGGTCGCGGTACTGTTAACCAGAGCGGTCACGTTCTTCGGGAAGTCCACGTTGATGTACGGCTTATGCGGGAAACGCTCTGCGGTTTCGTTAGCAGATCTTCAGTTTCGCGCACGACGATGAGCCGTGCTCGGTCGTGTAATAACCGCGGACGCGCATCGCAAAAATTGTTGCACGGGCACGAAACGGATCGAATTCGCGAGTGGCAAAAGGCGGAGAATTGTGGATCTACTCACCGATAACGTCGACTTTGTAGGTGTAGTTGATGCAGCCCAGATAATTGCACACGATGCACGTGTAATTGCCGCTGTCCTTAGGCACGAGATCGTCCAGCTTCAGGGACCACCTGACCGGGACCGCTTTACCGAGCTCCCGCTTCGGCTCCTCGTTATTCTTCAGCCACGTGATATTCGGAGTGGGATTGCCCGTGCTCAGGCATTTCAATCGCAACGAGTTGCCGGCGGGCTTCACCACCGACGGGTGCATCTCGTCGCTCTTGTTGAAGGAGGGAGGGCTCTCCGGGATCTTGTGATTGTGATCGTTCTCCGGGTAGATCTCGCTCTTCTCGTCCAGGTTCGCGTCCAACTTTTCGCTGTCCAGATGCAACGATCGCGCCTCGGGCATCAAGTCTGCGGGAGAGATTATCGCATCGACATTACGACATTCCATTTTTTTTTTCTTTCTGCACGAGACACGTTAATGTCACGTTTAATCGGGAGATTGAGACGTGAGAGCTGTCGGATTTACTCACTTCTGGTTTCGATCTCGAGATCGTTGCTCCCGTCCTCCGTTCTCAGCATGTTCATCGCGCCGCTCTTGTCCTCGCCCTCGTTCTGAAAGCCGTCGTTCTGCAGGTTCTCGACGCGCACGGTCACGTTCCGCCACTCGACGGTGTCGTTCGACTCCAGTCTACACCTGTAGACACCGGCGTCCTCCACCTCGATGGTTTTCAACTTCAAAAACTGCCTGTTTATACGTACTCTCGCGGTCGGCTTATGCAACTCTTCGTCGTCCTTGTACCACGTCGTCTTGAAGCTGAAGTTTTGCTGGCAACGTAGATTGAGAGTCTCGCCCACGGACACCACGACGTCGGAATTAATTGCATCTGCAACGTAAACATTATACGCATTCTATTATGCTTCGTGTGATTATACCGTGCCAATCGAGTACCGCGTCCAATTCGTGTATCCCTCGGGTATAACATTGCGCGCGATGCGATGTTAACGATAAAGTAAAGAGAACGGCAAATTATTCCGCCTTTCTTCGTACACTGACTTTCGTGAAGCAAAAGTTTTTGTTCTTCAGATTGTAGCTTCGCATCGATATACTGAATGATCCCCTAAAGCTAACTGCTTCCTACGCGTGAAGAATGAAACGCGATTCGTTATGTTCAAAGCGAATATATAAGAGATATTTCTAAAGTTCTTTAATTTTGTGTGTGTGTATGTGTGTGCTCTTTCTTTTATTTTATTCATTTTTGCCAACATTACATTGTAATGTTCTATTTAATTCAACACATTTATCATAGCGCGAAACTATTTTTGTTTAGACCATCTTCGAAAAACGAATTAAATAATTTTAATTTAAAAAATGTTAGATTTTATGCCTAATAATATTTGCAATAATATTTTATTATTAAATTAGTAATTAATATATTGATGGTAATAAGGCATCCTATATGAATGATACTACTGCATCTTTTAATATCTAAATCCACAAGATGTTTATTACTGAAAAATATCCATTAAAATAAACATGATGTTAACGTGCGTCTTATAAATAATTTTAACTCGGTCGTCAGTACACTCGCTCGTCTTCCGTCGCGTCACATCGATTCGGCTCGTCGACGCGACGATCTATAATAATCGCCGTCGCGACAACTGGTGGAAGTTAGCAGACAGGGATGTTTTGCGCCTAACGAGAGAGAAAGAGAGAAAGGGAGTAAAACGAGACCACGGTGCTTGGCTCGGGTCCGTCCGGTCTGCCTATCCCGCGATATTTGCATCGCCGGTTTGATCAAGGAAACTCATTTTCCTGCGGCGACTCATTCATGAGGCCGACCGGCCGGACCTCGGAGCATCGCCATTTGGAAGACGGCCAAAAGTGAATCGCGACACTGTCCCTTCTGACGTTCCATCTGGAAGGCCTTTCCGCCCCTCCGTCCCTCTCCCCCGGAATGCGTCGCACACTATTTTTAGAGTTATCCCCCCGCGAATCCCTTCTCCGTCATGTCGCCTCTTCCCTGGTGAATCGCCCCGTGATTACGACCGCTATTAGTACGAGGCGCGTCTTCATCATCGTCCCGCGAGCTTCGAGATATCGAACTTTCGATTATTAACCCTTAATACACACGATGAGTCTCCAGTTCTTTATTACATACATATAGGTCGTTCATGTCTGGTTAATTTTCATCTTACTTTACAATATAAGTAATACTTTTACAAAGAAGTATTGAAAAGTTTTAATTAATTCTCATATATATTTAAACATCTTTAAAAAGGATTTGTAAGATTGTGTATTAAAAAATATTGTATATAAATGTTATAAAATTAATTATTTCCGACACGAATGATCCGTAATCGTGCGTACTAAGGATTAATACGAGACACGATCGCGCCGTTTCGCGTTGGTCTCGATCGTTTCAGTCATAGCGACAAGCCGTGAGATTTTTCTTCCTTTTGTATTCAGCGGATCTGCTTCCCGAGTTATTCCAGACGCGGCCAGGAAGAAAGGGGAGATAGACTTTAATTCAATCGAGACTCGCGCGGAGGGTCTCCTTCTTTTCGCGAATCTTTAAACATCCTCGCGCGCGCCAAATCCTCAAGGCACAAACGAGTCGTTGTGCCTCGGTCGAAGAGCCCTCGACGGAAATCGATCGAGTTTATATTGTCGCTCGTCGCCGTGAGCGCTTCGCTTCGTTCTTTTTCGGGAGACGGCAACAGATGCGGGGCACGTGGCACCGGCGGCTGCGATCCGGTGCGCGAAGTTCGGCACGGAACGTATACCGCGCACCCCGAGACGTAATCTGCGCGGGGAGTCCTCGGGTAGATTTAAGATCTACGTAGAAAGATCCAACTAAATTTTAGATCTTTCAGCAAAATCGTGTTCTCTCTGTGTATCGTCTCGCGCGGCTATCAGATCAAATCGTTGTACGTCGTTCACTCATCTCAGACGGAACCAGATCTCTCGCTTCTGGCTATTTCGGGACGTAATAGCCACAAGTCGTCGAGATGTAAAACACTGATCGCAGAGATACCATGCGTCGTGATTTACGCTCTTTTAATTGCTCATTGTTTCTCCGCTTTCGCAGAAACAAGTCGCCGGGCGCTGCTGGTACAATTTTTGCGTTAAAAAAATTGTAAAGAATACGGAGGGAATTGTTAACCGGGTTAAGAAACTCCGCGCATAGCTAAGTTTTCCTCGGAGTAAGCGAGATAAATATTTTACTCTCTCGAAATTTTTCGACGAATTTTTTCCAGACGGCAAACGAGTCCATGAAGAAACGACTCGACGCCGAGCACAAACAAACGATTCGCAAAATCAAATAGCGTTGAAAACTCAGCGAAAGCTAAGCACGCCGGATTATATGGATCACTCGCGCGAATCGGCAACGATAAAGCGGCTTAAAACCCGGGGGGTGGGGGGGCACCTAACGACGACAGAAATCACGACTGTCGCGTTTGTGTCAGCGGAGCCCATCGCTTCACTTTCACGAAACGAGCCTATTCTTCAGAAGTGGCGGTCGAAGAAATAAAGAAAAATCGACACAGGCGAGAAGGATCTTCTCGACCTCGGAGAAGTGCCCCGCGGTGTCGGATTACGATCGTCCCACGCGTCCGCGGCTTTTAGCGTCTTCATTCGAATGTCGACGAGGGAGAAAAGGAGAGAGGGAGAGAGAAAGAGAGAGAAAGAGGTCTCTTTCATGCCGCCCGATGTTAGCGGTCGATCTTACGCGAGATGATGATTCGACAAAAAGGCGAAACTCTAGACACGATAATTCCATTCGCTCGCTTGTGCGCGAGCGGAGAGCGCGAGATCTCTTCGCTCCGCGCGGAAACGTTGAAACGCCGACCCTTTTTTCGTCATTACACAAGATCCTTTTTGTTCGTAGAACGTTCACCTATTCCCCGCGACACCGACGTCGTTTCTTCCTCTCTTCGCGGAAATCCGTCGAGTCGGTGCGTTTCAAAGTTTCGTGATTGAAACGCGGTTTCACGACGATTTCTTAATGGAATCGGCGATGCTTTTTTTCCCTCTCCGTCGTCAACAAGTTAACGATACTCTCTACGGCGGAAACAGATATCCAACTACCGTCGATCCAATTACCTCGTTCTATTCCGTAGCGCGTGTTTGACGGCTGGAAATCGTCGAGTTTTATTCTGATCTTCCTCCTCGTCCGGAGGAGGATAAAACGAACGTTCGCCCCGGGGATGGACTTCTTCTTTCGACTCGATGTACGGATAATTCGAGATAAAAAATGATCCGTGGCAAACGTGGAGCGAGATGAGTCTGCGCCAGAGTCCGGGATCGGGGGGGAATCTTGTTATATACATTTTAACGCATCGTCCGTTCGCGTTAAAAGATATCGCGTTAACAAAGTATGGCGGGGCGAATCCTCCGCCTAGGATAGAGACCTGCCAACGAGACTGGCTCGACGATCTAATTAAGATTCCGCCTGGTCCTGGAGAAGCCGTCCTTTCATAATGAAGCGAACGCGGGGGTAAAAAGGATGAGAGAGAGAGAGAGAGAGAGAGGAGACTCGCGGGGCCGGAGGATAGAGAGCCAGATATAAACGTCGGCATTCTTGACGGGTCGGCAGCCTGAAAACGATCGTGCCAGGTAACGGTAACGCATCTACCCGCATAATTACACCTCGAAACGGATCATCCGACTCTCCGGGAGTAGATCGGGAGGGAAACGACGACGAGCGTCGCTTAAGCGCGCGCTCGTTATCTTAACGAACACGCCGAGCTTGTTTTCCAAGAGGCATTTTCGAGATTGAATCGTCAACGGGAGGACGGAGATAGAATCCCCGCGAGTGAGCTTCCGCGTCGGTTTTCCGGGTTGCGCGTTCCGCCGAGGAAGAGACGAACAATTTTCTGAGGATCCCGATGCTGCGAGCGAGCGAGCGAGACGAGAGATGCGTGGATGCGGGCACGGGTCCAGCGGAAAAACGGAATGACGCTCGATCAACTGGCAAGACCGGCCGAAATCTCTTGGCGAAATCTCTTCTTCTCGACTCCCCTCCTCCCTTCCCGCTGTCTCTCGTTCACCCCTCCGCCCTCGTCCACCCCTTCCCCCATAAATCGCGCTCCGCACCGCGCATCTCTTTCATTGTTCAATTGGTAATATCAGCCTATTACGCTGTTGAATACATTTAATAGACAAAAGATTGGCAGTGGCTCTCATCGCTCCCGTCGATCTCGCAACGGCGGCGGCGGTGGCGGCAGCGGCCCTTCCCGCCTCTCGAATTTAGTCCGAGAAAATGGCGTTTCGTATATCCGCCATCGCCGGGTGAGTATATCGTTACTGGCGATTCGGTAATAGCGGCCACCGCGCAGCCCGGCTCGGCATTCAATGACCGGGCAATTGGACAATTGAGCTCAATCATAATAACGCTCATACGCATATCGTGCCACCGCGGAGAGACGTGTGTATCGTTTTCGCCCGTTCGCCGCGTGACGGGTAAATTTATTTACCGAAATATCAATCCTCCACCGGGCGAAATACATACGCCTGCCGAGAATGCCGCATTGAAAATAATCGGAGTACCCCGTCGGGGGAAACCCCCGACGACTGGGTAATGGGTATGTATTACGAACAGGGACCCGGATCGAAAGAAAATTTCAGTCCGGTTACGGTTATGGTCCGAGGTTATTGTCAATTTTTGGTTTCGGTTTCGGTTTCAGTTTTTTTGCCGATATCGGTGATCGTAACCGTTTGGATTTCGGTCTTTTTCGGTTACGGTTACGGTTACGGGTATACATATAATTACTTATTGTGAAATTTATAAGAGATAAGTATTATGCATAAAAAAAGTAATACAAATTTAAGTTGAATATTATAAAAAATTTATCTCTATTGAATAAAATCTTTGTTGACGAA